TGAAGTAACATTGTTTCCTACTTACATTACATTCCCTATTTGCTATATACTGTATGTATGTAATTACATATGATATAGTACTACAGCATATTATCCCAAGATATGTTCAAATCTGTTGATATAACAAAACAGCAAAGCATATGCTGAACTCAAGCAAACTATTGTACCTACAAAAAAAATAAATTTTGGCCTACAACGGAGTCTTAAAGCTTTCCTTTTACACGCATATTAGTCTTACCAAGCACATGATTGTAAAGCAGAAAGCAAAAGAGAATGGCCCTGTAAAAAAGCTGTCAATCCTTTCTCATTTCCATTGACAAACTACTGTGACAATACCTTTTTGCCAGAGAATAGATCTGACAACACAAAAATGACTCAAACTTGCAAATACTATAATGGGAGAAATGCCTTTACTCAATCTTAATTACCAAACACAATAGATTTCGGGAGAGCAGGGATATTCGACACAGGAGAATGCTGCACTGAAAGGCTATGAAGAAGAAATATTACATGGATCTTATAAGCAGCAGCAAATGTTTATTGACAACAGCATTGCTACTGTACCTTGTAGTCTGATCTCACCAGATCATCAAAGATGGGCTTGGTTATTACTGGGATTATAGATCTCTAAGCAAAACTATGCTACTGCTCTTGCAGTGGAAAAACTTGTTTTCTTTCTTTTTACTTTTCAGCATGGAATTAACCTTTTCTTGTTCCTTTGCTGCTTACACACTGATACTGATCATCTCTCCATTCTGATCCATTTAACAAGGACGACCAACTCTGATCCAGAGTGAATGTGTTTTATATATCAACCGGACAGTGTTATATCAACCCTGAGACTGTTATCACTTTATTGAATCAATTAATGATTTAGTCACAAATGGCTCACTGTGGTTTTAAAGAACAATATCAGTTCAACAATTCAAAACAATTCAGTTTTGAAGTATATCTAGTGTTTTAATCCACCTTCTTAAGATTTTAGAAGTGTTCCAAGGGGAACTGATTATTTCATGGTGACTGACCATTATATGTCACAAATGTATAAATAATCCAGCGGGTTTTATATGTGCTGCATAACATTTATCTTTAACAAGTGATGCTGGTACACCAGCAGTTGGAAGAGTCCCTTTGGACCAGAATTTCCAAAATTCCAATCATCCTTTGGATGAGATGAACACCAAGCTCATGACTGTTTCTGAACACCAAAGATCCCTAACATATTTGTCCCCTTACACCATCCCCCCTCAAATTTACCCCCTTAGTTCAACTGGTGAAGCAATTTCTCACTACTTTCACCTAATTTACAGTGTAATGGGGCTGCTGGCATACAATGGCTACTGTCTCCCTCCTGGATGGGTATTGGACTTTACTGGTAGATGAAAAAGGTTTCTTCTTACACTGCAAGTATTTTGGAGATCCCCCAGGATGAAAAATGCTATACAAATTCAAGGAAAATATATAATTATTTTCTCGCATTTACAGCATAAAGTGTTTTTCACTGTAGTCTTTGAGCTTGTGAAGGTAAGACCATGTTATCTGATGAAATAGGGCACATTTTCTAGGGTGTGGTAAAGATTTCACATGCTAAGCGTTTAGCAGAAATCTTCAGTAAAATAAATTGTTGCAGACATTGATCATGGTACAATATCTAATTTACAAATTTTCCTTTCCATCCTGTACTAACTAACTAGGCCCGTTTGACTTGTACTGTAGCAGCTAGTATACAACATTCTACAAGTCGTTTGGCTGTAATGAATTTGTAAAATTAAACTGCATGAAGTAAAATGTTGATGCTTAATTACTTCCGATTTGCAGAAATGATTTTTAGCTCATAAAACATTGATAAATAAGCGTAAGGATAGACATATGGAATGGATCTGACAGTTAAAGCATAAACGTAAATCTGATTCTGTACTGTTCATATAAACGATATAACATTACTAATAAAAAATAGACAACAGTGTTGTAATTTTCAAAAACACAAAACCTTTTTTTCTATAGAGGGTTTATAAAGTAAGGAGTAAACCTTCAATGGATTGAGGCCAGATTTATGACAGCTGAGATATCATACTGTAGGAGCCAAGCAAGTCTGGATGATATACTCATCTGTACTGGGATGAAAGCAAACAGCAGATGGTGCATTTCCAAACAGCTCCCATCAAACTGGAAAACTCTTGGAAGAAATAACTTCCTTATGGCCCTGAAACTGCTTTTAAAGCATCTATACTGTGCATGTAATATATTACTTTAAACAGCAGAAATAATTGAGCTAATGCCACAAGGTAGGATTTAGGACATAAGAGGGGTTTTGGGTGTATACAGTACAAGTAACATATTTATTCTGTACACTATTGGGACACTATTGGTCTGTACACTATTTTCTCTTCATGAATAAACAATCCAATGGCAATCTTCTAATGCAAACATACAGTACATATTTGGTTTTATGCTCAAAGTACTCCTGAAAGGTCATTTACTGTAGCTCTCTTAATGTGTGGAGAGGAATAAATTATGTCAATGATGAGGAACACCTGACAATGAATCCATCAGGATTTACTGGTAAATACAACACATTAGCTACTACAGCACTTCACATTTGCTGCTCCTTGAGGTTTAGTGATCAAGCTTTTGAAGGTTCTGATCTAGAGTATAAGGCTTCAAGCTCAATTACATGACAAGCTTATTTTCTTTGCACTCAATCCAAGATGTAGGATATAAAAATCAAAGTCAGAAGTTCAATTTGAGTATCGTGTCAGTGTGTAGGCTACAAATGAACAAGTGTTCCATTTAGAATTTTTCATGTTATTAGTTTCATGCTGAAACAAACAAAGAAAAAAAAACAAATGTCACCCGTTAAACCTTATTGCCTTATTCACATAAGCCTTATGTGAACGAGTGTCACACAGAAGAAAACTTAACAGTCAAAATGTTAATTATGTACTTTTCAACAGGGATTTAATCACTTCTTGCTTCATTACATATATTGTAATTTTTAATTCTACCTAAGATTTCTAATTCTTTTTCAAAGCGGTTTATTACATTACATTATGTATTATACTGTATAACATTAAATGAGATTTAAACAACAATGAAACACTACAATACCTGATTAATGCTTAACTGAACAACAATTAGTGCCACTCAGAAAGTTACAGGCTCCAATGAAGAGCAATAGAACATACAGTATTTCAACTTCTGATATATTTGGTACTCTGTTGAATTCCTATCACACTGAAAATACAATTCTTATGAGAAAGATCAGCAATGTTATTAATATTATCCAAACTATGGTACCAAATGTTTCAGACTTCTGTCAGATTTCTTTGGCTGTGCCATAAATGCCAGCAATAGTGTGTCAAAGATACTTCTATAAACATGAACAGAATATGTGATAATTAGGATTAAGGTACTGTCGCAACTGGAAAAGTACACATAACCCTTATAACATGAAAGAAGAGTAAATAAAAATGTTCATCCTCCTATAATCATTCATGAAACCTTTGTCCTGTGAGATTCTGGAAGGAATACATTTGACTACTTTGTATATGTGCACAGACTCAGAATCACTACAAATGAAGAAGAGCATATTCTCTCAGAGGCACTGTTGGAGCTGAGCATAGCAGAAGTGTCAGTGAAAAGCCTGATCAATAACTCTAATGTTCTGTGAAGTAAAGTCATATTCCATTGTTTTGCTTTTCAGGAGCTATAGGAAAAGCAATTCCAACTGAATGCAACCACAGCTCTTTAAAACAGCACTAAATAGCATGTCATATTCAAAATGCGTCCAGACCCTGACCTAGAAAATGCCTTTGTAAGGGTGCACATTTTTTAATTTCCCCTTTCTTACAGGAAGCCATGACCAAACTAGAGTCTAAACTTTGTATCTCCTTGCTTCTAATGGTGTTTCATTTCCCAGTATAAATGATTCACCTTCATCTGCATGAGGAGGCTGCAATTCGCTGTTTCTTTCTTGATTTAAGGAGCACCTAGAGTTCTGTCACACAATCTCCTACATTTACAGATTGCCAGGTACTACAGTATATACAGATTATAGAAAACTGTTTAGGCTACAAATAAAGTGTTCTTAGAGCATAGAGCTTGTGACATTGAATGTTAATTTTCAAACTCAGGCCAAAGTTATAAAGGTATCAATGTGAACCAATTTATCTTCTGTTAGTTCTTAAAATCCAAATTTCCAAGAGAATAATGGCGAACATGAAAAGATAACTGTAGTACTCAATACACATTTCACATTTCACGCCAAATGTCTCTGAATAGAGCAAACACAGATAATAATTAAACTGTATATGCTTTCTTGCTTGGATATTCTGGTAACCTAATTCACTAACACATGGCGGATCTAATTTATATGCAAAGAAAAGGCAGAGTAACTGTTTCTATAACAATTTTTACAGTTTTCTGCTCAACTTTTTTTTATCAGTTTTCAGGCCAGTAATTCCTCAGTCATCACAGCAAAAGTTGTTGTAAAATCTGTATTCTATTAAGTCAACAAGACTTTTCTCTATTTACTGTACATTTTCTGCTTCCACTAAAATGAATCCAATGGATCTGTCATGTGAGATATGAACAATAGACTACTGTACTTATACTGTGAAGTGAAAGCATTGTTTAACACATACAACCCAATTAACTAGATTCTCACAGTATGATATTGATGGCATGAGTTACAATACTTAATTACTGTACAAATAATAAGGAAAGGCAGTCATCTGAGTATACAGTAATTTCTCCATTCTGGTGTGTTTTGTTTTTTCATCACCAAAAACTGCAAATCTTCAGAACATTGTTTCATGATGCAAAGCGAAACAAACAATAATGTAAACTTCAAACCAATGCATGCTTCCTTTATATTCTGTCTCTCACACACACACACAGAACAACATTGGAATTCCTCCAGCACTGCTACAAAGCTGTCGGGGCAGGGCAGTTACCCCTCCAGTCTTTTCCACAGAGAGAAAACCGGCGCCACATTGTACCTTAGTCCCGTTGTAAAAGTCGTCCACGGAAGTGGCGTTCATAAAGGTCTGGTGAAAGTGGGTGCTGGTGTCGATGCCCCCCGGGATGACCAGCTTGCCGGTCGCATCGATGACCTTGGCACCTCCAGGGATCATGAGCTCACGCCCCACCTGCTGGATAATCCCATTTTCAATGTACACGTCCGCCTCCTGGGTGAAGTCGTCGTTCACCACCTTCCCGCCTTTAATCAGGATCCGCACAGTCGCTGAATTAGCGGCCATGGCCCTGGCAGAGGAAACGAAGAACCAGGAGCACCGTTCAGAGGACATGGATGTTACTATCAATATGAAATATAATGTAATATTAAAACTGATAAAAATATATATTGTAATGCCATTCAAATATATTACAGACAGTAAAAAAATAAACTACAAACTTCATAAAACAAGTACAAAATATTTATTTATATGTACAGCATATATAACAGATATATTTATGTCTTAGGTAGAAAAAAACAGACCATAATGTTCATATATTAAGCTTTCAAAACAAAATGCATTAAATGCCAAATAAAGTGCTCAAATGTGTCCACTTTAGTTTAGAAGGTTTAGCTTTAAAAATAAATAAATTGAGAGCTGAGGTCAGCACTATGGCTCAATGGTTAGCGCTGGGGCCCTGGGTCCTGGGATGGTGTCTCCATGGAGTTTTTCCTGTCCAAAGACGTACTGGCAGGTTAACTGGCTTCCAGGAACATTGGCTGTGGTGTGGGTGTGTGGATACTTGTCTGTAAGTGTGCCCTGTGATGGGATGGCTTCACGCCCAGGATGTATCCTTCCTTGTTCCCGTTACTTGTGCCCGGGATAGGCTCCATCTCCCTCATAACTCCAAACTGGATAAAGCAGTTAGAAAGTGGATGGATGGAAATTAGGAGCTCAGTGGGTTAGATGTTTTCAGACAAACTGCAAAAGAAAAACTGCAATGCATCTTCAGGAGTGAAGGGGATCCTGCTGGTGGGCCAAATGTTAATAATCTAATGGGAGGTTATGTTTTTAGTTCACAAACGCAGTCCAATACTTCAGAAAGATTTTTACCAAACTAACAGGGAAATTGGCACTTGTGAACGGGGTGTGTGTTATCGCCACATTTTTAAACTTTTTTTTCTAGTGGTGTTTTTCTAGTGGTGTACCTAAATTCTAAAATGTCATTATTATTGCAAGAATAATAATATGCAGAAAAGAGTTATTCCTCAAAAAAATAAAAATTAATTAATAAAAAAAATATTAATTTTGTCTGGCTATACAGACAACAACTTCTGTTTTTATTTAACCACCACAGTATGTGGTATTTTAAGTGCTGGCAAAAGTCATTTACAGAGATCAAATTGTGTATTATGTATTATGTTCACTGAAATCAAATGTGAAAAGGGCCATATAGTAAAAAAAAAGGCTTTATTCACTGCTTTTTTAACAGGACTTCACAATCCTCATAACTCCCCAGGGTTACCTGTGAAGAACTCTCAAGATGGCGCAGGAAGTAAGAGTTCTTAAGTATAGGGGTGTTAACACCAGTGTCCTGGCTAAATTCTCCTCTGGGAGACCTGCCTTACATAAAGTTTCTTCAAAGTGAAGCAAGTTTTCACATCTCTACCTCATCTCCTCTGTGGTGTAAAAGCTGGCATAAATGGCAACTAGCCATAACCCAGGTGGTTGCTGAACTTCAGTGACGAATGAAGTGGGTCTCTTTTAACATACTGTACTGTACTTGGTACTCTGATGATAATCAATGTATAAATGCAAGGGATCAAATCATTATTATAATTAAAGGAGGAAAGGAAAAACAAAGAGACACTTCACAAATTTCTCCATGACAAATCATTTAATCATGCAATAGATGGTTTCGAGAGTGGAAAAATTGCACTTACTAAGATCCACTCAACATTTCTTTCTTTTTTGTACATTCAGGCTGGTACTGCTAAATAGGAAGGTTTCACTGTAATAAAAGACTACATTTTATACCTGACTCTCTCTCTGAAATTATTGTTACAAATGATTATTATTTAGCCACCTGACTAACAACAGGCATTTAGATTTCAGGCCTATAGAAGTGTCAACTAGATCATTTGTCTTTACAACCTGTGGATTGAACCTCTCTCGACACAGTTCTTTCGGTATGCAGATGTACTGTAGGTTCTCCTGCTGTGAAATATTAAATCTCCTTCTGAATATTGACTTGTAAATGTAAAAATTACATTTTTTCACTAATCATTAATTTGTCTGTTTGGTAAACTCTGGACATTTGTTTTTTTCTTATCATTAATATCAAGAGATAAGAATCTGAGATTATTTTGCAGATGCAGTGGTTATTGCTACAGTATGTAGGCATTTTGTGCTAACACAAAATACAGTTGAAGCTGTAAACAATTTGAAACACTAAGATCAATTGGAAGTTCTCCTGAGGTCATTACATAACAAATAATATTAAGGAAGTGACACACTGTATTTCATCTTCATGTTTACTTTATGCATGAACTCAATTTTCTTTGGGGCTTTTTTGGTTAGAATGAGAGAGACCACATATGAAATCCAGATTCCAAGGAAAAGTCCACATCCTTTACCTATTCAACTTGAGGCACGAAAAATAAAAAGGAAGTTTCCCCATGTTGTAGAATGCTTTTAGTGTAGATTTTCAATATTTTAGCACCACAAGAAAAACTGTAAATACATAATTTAAAGGTTGAACAAATTTACAGTGGTGCGCAAAGAACTGTTTTGCTTCCAGGAAAATCCGGCAAAACAAACACATAACATAGGGTACTCAGACAAACACATAAATGTATAAAGTGAAGCAATTTTGTGTAGAAAACAAAAAACAGAACCTGGCACAATTACATACAATGAATATTTTCATATACTGATATAAAATGTGACATATCTATGTGGATCCTACAATTGCTAGTAGTACATATATTATGGAATACACAATTCCCACTCTAAGCTGGCAAACCCTGCTGGGAAATAAGTTAAGTCCAGGTTCTCCAGCAATTTTAAATTAATACATTTTCCAAAAACTGTTCCATTGTCTTTCGTCTATTCGGTGACATTTTTCCCTCTCATTGCAAAACAAGTCCCCTTATCTTTCCTGCAGCCCATAATTATTATAAACTCTACTACTATATAAAGTGACAGGGAGTTTAAAGTCAAAACAAAATACTTATTTCAAATAGTTAATAAGCAATTAATTACTCGGCTCATTACTATGCAGCTGAAAAGCAGATTGTGTACAAATTGAGTGGGCGTAATGCAGATAAAATGGCTGTCAGAGGACAGTTTCAAATTTACAATGCAGTCTAATCTGTTTGGGACCGAAAACAAGCAAATTATGTAGATTTATTTTGCATATTAAGAATAATACCTTTTACAATCTGGCAGTGTGCGCATCTTTCACAAATACCAGTCATGATATCCTGTTAATGAGCTCATTTTCTATTAAATGCAAAGGGTATGTTTGTTGTGGCGGATAACGCTTTGTGAACACTAGAGCATTTGCTTTCGGTATTGCCCACACAGACTGATTTTTTTTCTGTTAGCCAGCTGGTTAAGAGTGTGACTAACTATATTTCAACTGCAGAAAAGCTGAGCATAATTCTAATTCTAAACAGATGAGTCTTCTCAAATCCCAGAGTTGTAAGTGCATGATAAACAGAAGAACGTGGGAGCTCAAAAAGCTATACATTCCTAATGTATGAGGTTACGATATCTACAGACTAAAATTTTCAACTGATAAAAAAAGATTTCTCTAGCTTTAGCTACGAATTGGGGCAGTTCCTTTATTTGCATTCGCAATACCATTAGTAAGGTGGAAACCAAAGTCATTCCTTTCACCATTCCAACAGAATCGCCACCTTAGAATAAATAAGCAACTCCAATAAATTTGTACTATACATAGCCTCAGGGGTCCACACAATTACCATTGATATTTTGGTTTCCCCATATAGAACATTTGTGATATCACTCACTAGCAGAGGACAGACAGCAGATGACAGTCAGTAGAAAGAAGCCAAAACTACAGAGTGCACATCTTAAATGAATGGAATAATCCCCAGGCCACTGCAATACGCATTTAAATTGCTTTTGACAAATTAAATCTAAAGATGTGAGGCTGAGAAGTACCACTCACTGGAAGTAATAAACAAGAAAAGCCACGAGGCTTTCCTTGAGGACTCTGAATCAACACTTGTGCATGCAATGATCTGTTTTACAGCCACAGAATGCAGAAAAATGTTTTTATATTCATATTTGTCCAATACTGTTAGAGATGCTGCTTTTAAGTCTTCATTCTTTACATAAAGAGATTAAGAAAATGTATTGCCTTCTTGTTTGGATTAAATCAGTAATAAAGTGAAAGTGATGAAAGCACGGCAATATGATTTTCCAGTCTCAAAACTTACATTGACCACTTGAAACAGCACTCATACTGTTATTTTACTATTTCAGAAGTTTTGCATCTATTGGGGGATGAATTTCATTGAGAAGACAGATGGAATTAAGTAAAATACCTGTGTCGTGACATGATTAATAAAAAAGAAGCTTCTGTGTCTCAGAAAGGTCTTGAACTTCCCAGCTCAGAGTGGAGTGGTTACTTTTCATACAAGTCATGTTTATCCTGCTTTCTTGAATTAGTTGCACTCTTTGGTCCACCTTGTCACTTACTGTAAGTCCTTGTTTAATATTGACATATTAATATATTGGTAAGCTCACTTGTAGTATACACACAAGGAAATTTGCTACTAATTATTCAACTATTTAATATTAAGCATAGAAAGACAACAGAAGTGTTTCCTTAGGGATTTCATATGAATGAGTGTGGTGCTATATGCCTTAGATACAGTAGCTTTTTATTCGACAGTATAAGATGTTCTATTTTTGAGTACAACAATATGAAGAATTACATGCCTTGAAAGGCTTAACCATTCACATAACATCACCATCCAATTCATTAAAATTCCCCTCTTGCTTGTAAACAATTTTGATTCCAATATATTATAAATTAGACCCCAAACTAGACCAATAGGACATACCGTATACATAATGTTGTAACAGAGACGTTAATGCATTAACCTGCTCATTGTAAATCAAATAATTTATATCAAAGTGCACAGACGCTATAGCAGGCAAAAGACACTGCATTGACTTTTGTGCAAATTTATCGCCTGGTAAGTAGAGACTGGAGATGTAAAAACTAGGTGTGTTTGGTGTTGTTTAATCCCATCTGGGATTTCAGAAGCA